TACTATTTTATTTTTATCAGTAGCAATGCCTTGTAAACTTCAAACTTCCTTATCAACATCCTTTCATTTAGTATCAAATCCCAGTAGCTAGGCATATAACCTCCTTTGTTGTAGTTGTAGCTTTTGTTCTTTGAAAATATAATGTTGGCAGCTACACACTCTAGGTCTTCTTCTACGAATGTCGGACGTTTCGGCCCATGGACACTTCGGCCTGGACGTTTCGGCCACATGTGCTGGACGTTTCGGCCACATGTGCTGGACGTTTCGGCCACATGTGCTGGACGTTTCGGCCACGTGCCGAATGTCCCAATACTGGACACTTCGGCCTCAAGCAAGCAAGGCGAAAGCAAATCTGTGTTGCACAAGCTCTTGGCCGGAGGCAACTTCGGGGCGGCCGGCCGCCAGGAGCGCGATTAGTCAGGCTAGGCGAAAGCAAACATGGCAAAACGAATGTACATGTATTTTCTTGACAAATGCAATCATATCTCATTCTTATTTTCTTTTTCAGAATCAGTTTCCTACGGTGCTACGGTACCATCAGCGATAGAATAAAATCCGTTTCATCATACACAAGTTCGTGTTTCTTGTCATTAGTTTTCCAAATGATTCTTACATTTCTGTATGAAATAATATGAGCGTGTAAGGTACGCAGAGACGTCGTCGGACAAAAGGGCGCGGTCCCTTTTGACTTGAAATCTGATTGTCAATGTACTCCGAGAGACGATGAGTATACGGACATACTTATTTTCGTACAAGCAAAGAGCTTGAGGTTAAATATGTATTTAACCTCCTTGGTACAAGATAGCAACTTAGTATTTCAAATATAAGTTAACTGCGGTGGGTTTTATTGCAGATTTTCCGAATAATCGGTATGTGTTCATACATCATATCATATAGTACACCGTACATTTATTTGATAACTTAGTATTGTCAATAAATAACGTGGCCGAAGTGTCCCCGGCATGTGGCCGAAACGTCCACCGCATGTGGCCGAAGTGTCCTATTAAATGTCCATGGCCGAAGCGTCCATGGGCCGAAATGTCCTGCTTCCCCTGGAGACCATGTTTAGTCGAATAAATTGATGTTAAGCAGGGACAACAAATACAACATTTCATTTTCATCATAGCTGATTAACATCATTAAGTTTGACAAATATAACAATTTCATTCTGTAACGTCAGTACTGCATCTGTTGAAGTCTCAAAATCACTCTAGTCTAAAAAAATTATTTGCTCTGAGGTCGTTCAGACTATACAACTCATAATTGTATGCTACAAAGGAACCACCAAATAATTGTTCACATACTTTCTCTGAATCCCCGGGACTGCACAGAACACACCACAGGCAACGTTGTTCGTCGAAACACGTTGCTACAAGAGCGGGAGACGACAGAACGAGACAGAGAAGCCAACATTTTTCCCAGCACGGGCGCCGCCATCTTTTTCAGTGGACCCAACTATTAGTACTCTCGAGGACGTTTGAGCAGAAGATCGGGTTCATCAATTTGAGAATCAGTCTAAAACAGAAATTCATTAATAACCTACGTGATTTTAAACAAACTGTATAATAATCTAATATCAATAAATTTTGAGATGTTTTAAATGTACTAATGTATTCACTACCACCCCTCACTCAGGACAGAAGTGTGACAGCCTAAATCCGGGTCGAAGGTCAAACTATTTCGTAACTGGATCTCTCATACATGTTTACATGTTGCGACAGTTGCGACAGTACTTGCAGACTGTTATACATGTATTATTGTTGCTGCAAATTTGTAGAAACGAACGCGTTACAAAACCACGTTATGTCTGAGTCGGGAGGACTGGTCGAGAGTGAGACTGGGTCAGGGGTCGAAAAAAACGTTCCTGCAGCAACAGGTAACGGTAAACACTGGTGCTCCTGGCTACAAATATAACGCGTTAACTGTGCAACATAGTACAATGACACTTTGTCGACCGATTTCTGGCAACTGTACCATGCAGGCGCCGTGATCCATGTTGCGTCACGGCAGCCGTTTTGGCCTGGCACTTATCCGTGGAGCGCTCACGCTAGCTATTACTACAAACAAATTAACGTTACCACAAGATTATGACAGGACATCATCTAGAAACATAGATTTCATTGTTCATGTTATTAGCCCTGTTAGGTAGAGGTTTAATAGGCATGCCCCATTCACCCTTAGTTATATGGATGTTGGCATATCTACTTTTAATAATATAATGGAGTAATCTCTTTAATGGATGTGTAGCCTTCAAAACTTTGCTCTGAATCGTTAATTATATACCAGGTAGACTGGAAGGTTTTGTTCTTATCTTCCCCAGTTGTGACAAAGTGCAGCATCCGACAGCAGGTTTGGGACCACATTGAGAAAAATGACCTTGCCAACTTCCCTCGGCCAGTACATCATCGCATCCCAAACTTTAAGGTGAGAATCAACTTCTTTCACACCATCTTTTGGTTTAATCACCTCCATGGTGAAATGTACCGGTAGCCAGCTTCCGCCACGTCGCGTGCCTGTGAAACTGGTGTGTTATGCTGAGGGGCAGTTATACAGACTATACAGACACAAATCTGTCTGTCACCTTTGTGTGCCAATTTTTGTAACACACTTGCTTTTACATCACAGAATGCTGCTACTGCTGCAGAGAAGATTACTGCATTCAAGCCTTTCCAACAGGCACGGTTTCTGAAAGTCGACCCAGACAGGCCCCTGGAAAATGTCCGGTTCCTTATCATGGAGGTAAGGTCACCTGTTACAGGAATCTAGGAAATGTTCATTTGACTATTCATCACAGAAACAGTACCCATATAACCATTGGAAAACATTACCCCAGTTCATGTTACTAAGGCTTATACTTGACATGACTACATTCAGACAAGTCATTGATAATTCAAAATACATGTACATAAAGTTTCATAAAAAATTTTCAGGAATGTCCATTAACTGTTCAGTTTGTCCTTGTTAATACCATAGATGGATTTCCCAATCATGTGTGATGTATACATCCTTTCCCAGGCAGGTAAGACCCTCCTTGTGCCAACCCCCCGTCTGAGGAATGGACTGTTCAACAGGATCACTCCACCTGCTGGTGCCAACAAGCAGTCACTCAGGACCTGTGCAACAAGACAGGTTTAACAAATATTCATATAAATTTTGCCAGCCCTAAAGTCTGGTCGTTTGTTTTATCTTACTCTATTCCTAGCAATGCTCATTGATCCAAGCTCTTTATAGCCAAGGTAATACATGTACAGGTGTTCACTGCCTTCCTCCATATCATGACTAACTGGGTAACCATTCCTGTCTCCCTCTGTCTCATAATTAAAGGGTATTGATAAGCACAGCATTCCTGTAGGGCTGGATGACATGGTCAAGATAGACCTCGTTGTCTGTGGCTCTGTCGCTGTGTCTAGAAAAGGTGAGAGTTTAATCAGTGTATTACCGCTATGTATCGCATTGCAATTTGTCTGATACAACAAATACATATAGATGATAAATCAAATTACCAAGTGTGATAGGTAATTTGAGTATGATATTTATCTGCAGGCTACAGGATAGGAAAGGGTGAGGGGTATGGAGACATGGAGTGGGCTATGTTAGTGATCATGGGAGCTGTCACCCCAGACACTATCATTGTCACTACAGTTCATGACTGTCAGGTGAGCTTTCAGTTTGGAACAAAACTTTGATATTGAAGTTTGGTTGCCCAACTAGATAAAAGGTGCTTTCTTTACAACAGTATTGCAATTTTGGGCAAATGATGTCAACCTGTAGTCATACTGTCTATCATACTTATATGCTGTTTCCTTCTCCAGGTGATTGACATCCCAGAGGAGCTGGTTGAGTCACATGACATCACTGTGGATTGGATCTTGACCCCAACTGAGGTCATCCAGACCAACTGTCAGCGACCCAAACCACAAGGCATTATCTGGTCCAAGGTACTCCACTTACCGTAATTCATCATGTTGATCTCTGGCATTTCCAATAGATTCTGATGATCCATGAAGAGTGTAAAGAATTTCATCTTATTGCCATTGTCTGGATACTAATGTGTTTCTCAGTGTAACTAGAAACTGCACAAGCTCAACTTCTCAACCTTTCTAAAGGTGGATGCAGAAATGTTACAGCAGATTCCCATTCTGCGGAAACTGCGACAGAAAGAGAGGGCTGCTGGGAAGGATGTGCAGATAAAGGCTGAAGGAGAATCTACAAAGGATCTAGATAATGCTGAAGGAAAATCTGGAGAACTGGATAAAGAAAAAGGTGAGGTTTGATGCTGGACCTCACCCCAAACTACATGCAAGTAACAATACTTTTGTAATATGACTCTTTTCCCAACAAACAAAACAAGGACCTGATTATAGATACATTTTTCCACCTTAAACAATATGCCCACTATTAACAAGACATGCTCCTCATACAAATGTACCTTGCTTTCCATTGAAACTATTGGCTTGTCTGGTTTAGACAGGAGGCAGCCTTGAGGAAAGCCAAGAGAAAAGCCCACAAGGGAGATGAAGCAGAAAGCACAAGTAGCAGACACACCTAACAATCAGGACAAGAACTCTGCTGGGGAGGCCAGGAAGAGGCCACCACAGGACAGAGATCCTTCTCTCACTTTGTGGGTGGGAAAACTTCCAGGGTCACCTTCAAGAGAGCAATATCAACCCGCTACGTGTGATCTGGAAGGGGAATCGTGGGTTCGCTTTTCTAGAGTTCAAAGAAGCAAGTGATGTTGTTGAGGTGGTGAAGAAACTGCAGGGGCTGGAGATCAGTGGTAAAAAGGTCACAGTGGAAAGGGCAAAGGGCAGGGACGAGATGGAGACAAGGAGGTCAATGGAGAAAGCTGCAGCTGATAGCAAGCCTGAGGTTGTGAACTGGTTGCTTGCAAGAACAGCAATGTGAAAAATGCTAAATGCTGATACTAGTATGAAAGTTCATCTGTGTTGGTATATAACATTATGATAACAGTTAAACTTTACGTGACCAACACCAAGTAAATTGGGACTTGGTGTTGGTCACGTAAAGTTTAACTGTTATCATAATGCTGATACTAGTACTTTATCTTCTGACTTCCAAAGTGTAAAATGTCTGTTATTTAATCATGCTATACCCAAGCATGTTAAAAAAATCATGAATGATGAAGCTAATCAAGGAGGCTAAATACTTGTATTTAACCTCCTTGAGTGAATCATGCTCAACAGGGGAAAATACCTAACAATGTTGCCATTGTGTTTGGTTCATTTTGGACAGTGATGATAAAATGCGCAAACATTTGGCATTAAATGTGTTTTCACTGTACACTAATGTAGTTCATTTTTCTTAATAGATTGCTGCAGGCTAAGAAGGCAGACAGTGCTCAAAGTTCATGTTAAAAAAAAAACTTTTTGCCATTGTTACAATAAGATTATTGCCTTACTGAAAGTGAAGCAGGAAAACAAAACTTATCTTGCTACATAGGTAAAGAAAGCAGTGTAGTGCTAGATGTCAAATCTTTTATTTATTCCTGAGAATCATAATGGTATCTTTGTTACAAAAACATGGCTAATCAGCCTTATGGTTTGTAGTTTGTTATGCCGAGCAACGTTTGTAGAGTAGAGTAGATGTCTTCGGTATTAAAGGTAGGAGCTTAGTTCCAGTTTAGGCCGTATAATAATTTGTACTGTGACTCGAGTCACTCGACACACAGTTGATCATTAGCTCCCTGGTGATACAAAACTTTCCCTAGCAAAATATGCACTACTTTTATTTTACAAGGGAGGTAAGAGGAAGAAGAAAAACTGTAGCTCCTTGGTCAGAAGTTGTGACAGCATGCACTGAGGCTGATCGGGCTGTGAAATTACTGATTGTATGCTGCTGAGGAACCACCAAATTATTGTTCACATACTTTCTTTGAATCCCCGGGACTGCACAGCAAATACCACAGGCAACGTTGTTCGTCGAAACACGTTGCTACAAGAGCGAGAGACGACGGAACGAGACAAAGAAACGTTATTTTTTTCCAACACGGGCGCCGCCATCTTTTTCAGTGGACCAAACTACTCTCGAGGAGGAGTGAGCTGAAGATCGGGATAGTCAATTTGAGAAGCAGTCTAAAACAGGACTGTATCAATAGCTTATATAATAATGTGATGAAAAATGTAAATATAAGAATCTATCATCAATGAATTTTGAAATATTTGGAATGGAATAAAAATTTCACTACCACCCCCCAATTAGGACAGAAGTGTAACAGGCTGGATTCGGGTCGAAGGTCAAGATATTTCGTAACTGGATCTTTCCGGCGTCCACCTTTTTCCCCATCCATATATTGTAGACTGTTATTGCAAATTTGTAGAAACTAACGCGTTCAAAACCAAGTGAGAAGTCATGTCTGACTCAGGAGGACTGGTTGAGAGTGAGACAGGGTCAGGGGACGAAAAGAACGTCCCTGCAGCAACAGGTATATTGCGATTAAACTCTGCTGCTCCTGGCTAGATTTCTGTATCATTCTCTACACGTAACGTTACCTGAGAGGTGAAGGAAATGTCAGCTCTTCATCAACGTACTGAAGCCTGTATTTATCATCCTATTTGAACAGACCCATGACAAAGGGTAAAACTAACAGGGAATGTAACCTATAAAGCCATACTTAGCAGGTAGACTGTTGTTAAAGTGTCATACTAGTATCTTCCCCAGGTGTGACAAAGTGGAGCATCCGACAGCAGATTTGGGACCACATTGAGAAAAATGACCTTGCCAACTTCCCTCGGCCAGTACATCATCGCATCCCAAACTTTAAGGTCAGAGTCTCTTTTTTTCATGATATCTGTGTTTCACTATCTTTCAGTGAGCCACTTTTCATCTCACTTACTTCTATTATATCCCAGAATGCTGCTGCAGCTGCAGAAAAGATTACTGCACTCAAGCCTTTCCAACAGGCACGGTTTGTGAAAGTCAACCCAGACAAGCCCCAGGAAAATGTCCGGTTCCTCATCATGGAGGTATGTTATCTGTATCAGTATACAGGTATAACCGCCCCTGGAGGTAACACCAGGATTCTAGATTACAGGAGTCTAGGTTACATGCAGAGGAAATTTTCTGTTGAATATTCATTATAGAAATGGTTCCGTATAACCATTGGAAAACATGTATCTTACCCCTGACACATTCAGATATGTAATTGCCTGTTCAGAATACATCAAGTTTCATACAAAACATTTTCAGGAATTTTCCATTGTTCCATTGGTCCTTGTTAGTAACATAGATTCCTTTATTAGACTGATTTTCAGATTATATCTGATGTCAGATGTATACCTCCTCTCTCAGGCAGGTAAGACCCTCCTTGTGCCAACCCCCCGTCTGAGGAATGGACTGTTCAACAGGATCACTCCACCTGCTGGTGCCAACAAGCAGTCACTCAGGACCTGTGCAACAAGACAGGTGTCAAGTTTAACAAATATTCATATAGATTTTACCAGCCCTTTTTTAAAAATCCTACACTAACATCAATATCACTCTTGATGCAAGCTTTTCTATAGCCAAGGTAATACAGGTGTTCACATCTTTGCCTTATTCTATTTTATAACTAACCATTCTGTTTTCCTGTCTCTGTCTGTCCCATATCTAAAGGGTATTGATAAGCACAGCATTCCTGTAGGGCTGGATGACATGGTCAAGATAGACCTTGTAGTCTGTGGGTCTGTCGCTGTGTCTAGGAAAGGTGAGTGGGTACTGTCTATTTCACTTTGAGGAAAAATGTGCATCTGGTAGAGCCGTAGATAGAACTTTATTAGCATGTAGCAGTTTCATTGCTTTACTGAATTTCTTCCTAACACACCCTTCAAGTGCTTGGCAGAATTAAAGAGACTTCATACCATGTATATTGCACTGCAATTTGCCTGATGCAACGGATAGATGATAAATCAAATTATTGTGTGTGGTAGATAATTTGAATATGAACTTTGTCTACAGGCTACAGGATAGGAAAAGGAGAGGGGTTTGGAGACATGGAGTGGGCTATGTTAGTAACCATGGGAGCTGTCACCCCAGACACTATCATTGTCACTACAGTTCATGACTGTCAGGTGAGCTTTGGAACAAAAGTTTGATGTTGATGTCTGGATGTTTAACTAGATATAGAATGTGTGTTATGTCACAAAAGGTCTGCTTTCCTGTCAACCGTGAATACTGTGATTTATGTCAACCTGCATTCAGATCATCATATTGATTGCCATTTCCTTCTCCAGGTGATTGACATCCCAGAAGAGCTGGTTGAGTCACATGACATCACCGTGGATTGGATCTTGACCCCAACTGAGGTCATCCAGACCAACTGTCAGCGACCCAAACCACAAGGCATTATCTGGTCCAAGGTATTCAACATGTTATTCTCTGACATTTTCAATAGATTATGATGATCCATGAAGAGTATAATGAACTTCATTTTATTGCCATTGTTTGGATATTGATCAGTGTAACTGGAAACTGCACAAGCTCAACTTCTCAACCTTTCTAAAGGTGGATGCAGAAATGTTACAGCAGATTCCCATTCTGCGGAAACTGCGACAGAAAGAGAGGGCTGCTGGGAAGGACGTGCAGATAAAGGCTGAAGGAGAATCAACAAAGGATGTACAAAAAAGGGCCGAAGAAAAATCTGGAGAACCTGCTAAAGACAAAGAGAAAGGTGAATTGTGATGCTGAAACTTACCCCAAACTCAGCAGTAATATTGATATTATGTCTATTAGATATAGAAAATTTGCCTGTGATGTTTTGTGACATGCTTTTCAACAGCCCTGTTTAATTTTGTTGTCTTTTGTTCTTTTCCCCCACAATAAGGCAATGACCTGATTTATTATAATACACATGTAACGCTACATGTATTGATTTTTTCCAACTTAAACAAGATGTTAACTAGGAACAAGGTATGCTCATCTTACAAATGTTCATTGAAGCTATCTGCTTGTCCGATTCAGGCAAGAGGAGGCAGCCTAGAGGCAAGCCAAGAGAAAAGTCCACAAGGGAAAGGAAGCAGAAAGCACAAGTAGCAGACACACCTAACAATCAGGACAAGAACTCTGCTGGGGAGGCCAGGAAGAGGCCACCACAGGACAGAGATCCTTCTCTCACTTTGTGGGTGGGAAAACTTCCAGGGTCACTGAGGGTCAGCAACTTTAAAAATCACCTTCGAGAGAGCAATATCAACCCGCTGCGTGTGATCTGGAAGGGGAATCGTGGGTTCGCTTTTCTAGAGTTCAAAGAAGCAAGTGATGTTGATGAGGCAGTGAAGAAACTGCAGGAGCTGGAGATCAGTGGTAAAAAGGTCACAGTGGAAAGGGCAAAGGGCAGAGAGGAGATGAGAATGAAGAAAGCTGATGGCAAACCAGAGGAGAATGCTGTGAACTAAATGGGAAATGGCAATAATAGCTTGCAAGAGCAACAATATGAAAAATGCTAAATGCTGACCATCAGTAGCTTTCGTTCTTAATCTGATGTCTTCCATAGAGTAATATGCTATGTATTATATAATTATGATAATAGCCAATGGTGGAAGAATACCTCATTATGCTAAATGTTGCCATTATGTTTGGTTCATTTTGGACAGTGATGATAAAAGGCTCAAACGTTAAATGGCACTAAATTTGTCAGCATTGTACACCAATGTGTTTTTTTTCCTTGTCAAAAACTGAATATGTAATTACCTGAGGGCTAAGAGGGCAGACAATGCTCAAAATGGTATGTTAAGAAAAGCTTCTTGTAACAAGATACCCTTGTCTTCCTGAAGGTGAAATGGTAAAACGAATGTACATTTACATGTACACTGCAGTAATGCAGTGTAGTGCTAGATGTCTCTTCTGTAGTTGTAGGCAGAAGCTGCCAGTTCCATATTTAATGCTTGAAACATGGCAATTATAAACTCATTTCTTTGAAGATAACCCCTTGCTCTTACCAAGGTGGTTGATACCTCCATGCTCAAAGAGTTTCAAAAAGTTGTTGATGGTAACTGACAAGCACAGACAAGACCATTTGAAAGGAAGTTTAGTTTAAGTTTAAAATTCATGACACTGATTGTCAACAGATGAAATTTCTGTAACTGATACTCCAGAGAAGATGAGAAGAAATGGGAGAAACTATGCCAGATAGACTGTTGGGAGATCACTCACCTGTTCAGCTTCATTATTCACGAGAGAATCATGAGGCCTGTAGGCAGCTTTTCATTGAGGTTGTGAGGGAAAAGGTAAGGGTCAGACAAAATAAATAACAAGGATGCAGGTTAAATCATTATACACATCGTTATACACATATTTTTACACATACATGATTAAAAATGCATTTGAGAGCTGGTAACATTAGTAGTGATTAAAATGGCCAAACACATGACTTCATCGTCATTCCCAGAACAGCTTTAGTAGACTACAGCTAATGCCCAGTGATTTCAGAGATATGGAGTTATTGGCAGTTATGCAACTGCAATGATATGATACATTTTTGTTATCTGGTAACCATAACTTGTAACGTTATTTACCGGTAATACGTTTACATCACAGCCATTGATTATAGATTATATAACAGTTATTGCTAGTTTGAGTTGCTGCTTGCAATCCCAAAGCAACCCCTGAAAACCCTCAAATACCAGTACAGTTTTCAGCTGATCAGCTGTTATTCTGAAAAGGAGGTTCTTGTGGCTTTCTTTTTCTTGGTTTCCAAAGATCCCAAACTTTGCCAAAGGTTGACACGTCAAAGGTTTGAAAGCCCTAAAGTCACCCCTCCGTATAGAGTGGTACATCCCGGCGTCTGGGAGGTTTGAATGTTCCGGTGACGTTTGGTCACGTGACCTGTGCTGGTTCCAGTGTCCCAAGTGTAAATATACTGGCAGTACATCTGTGCACGGATTGCGGATCTCCACAGTTTTCCCTGCATTTAGGTGAGTTGTGCTCGTCGCTGTAGCTAAAATATACATTCTTGTAGCACGTTTAACGTTTCTGTATTCCGTGGGTACAAAGTCATGAGAATCCCGGCGGCACGAAACAGTTTGAACAGCGAGAAAGCGCCGGCCTCCCGTAGGTTTGTAACGTAGAACATGGAGACTGCAGGTCTGTGCTAGCAGCCCGCAAACAGCTTTGTGTTGTTCCTAATTTTCTCCCAGGATCGAGCCTTTAAAGACCGTGGATAGCACAGGCCAACTCCTTTAAACAAGTCTACTTGGCTATCAGCTCCACAATAAGTAAGATAAGTGTCCGGCCTGGTAATACATGCCGATCAGATCGCGGTGCCCAGCCGGGGCAGATCCGGTGAGATGTGATCTGACAGGATGCCACGAAAAAAATTATCCGTCGCCGCAGGCGTCCAGGTGGGGACATACCGCCTCTTCCTCCGCAAAAATTTGACGTCTTAGTCATACGTAACGTACTCTCTGGACCTTTAAAGGTTTGTAAAAATCATTTACGGCAGTTCTAACTTGGTGGAGAGTGCTAGTTATTGATCGATAGTAAAGCAATATTCACGATTGGAGCGACCGGAAATAATGGTTAAAATAGCCCCGGCTTGTTTGACATTTCTAATGATAGTGTGCATGGGCTTGTCTGCGCATGTTTTGGTACTCAAGCCACAGGGGACTGGACTGTCCAGCGGTGTGGCCGGAGAAAGGCAGGTCTTGTCAACAACCTTGGGGTGGACAGATTGACCCCCTCTAACAGGGAAGGGTCAAGGCAGCAGGCAGAACACTTGATCTTGTTCAACTGTCAAAAACGGTCCTTGTTCAATAGGTAGGGGGTGTAGGTGGGGGAGGTTGTGTCGTAAGGCAACTCAATAAATTGCTTAACTTCAAAGTCCTGTCTCCTGATGCTTTGAAAGTAGGACAGGAAAACCTTATAAACCAGGATTTAGATACCTTGGGGCAGAGGAACTGATCAGTTTACAGTCCTAGAATATGGACAGATATACTTGCCACATTGATCAGCTGCATTTGGTTACTTGAAAGCATACTATTATATTCTGATATATAATGAAGTCTTGAAACTTTTCCAGATTTACCAGATTGCTTTGAATGTGAAGAAGCATTCATGTACATGTACCATACTATATATACATGAGTGTGAAGAGATTCTAACTGCTCTGCTTACCTGACTGATTATTAAGTGACAACTATATAAGTTGTTATTAGTAATTCTTGTAAATTGTGTCACACAGCAATAATTTGCATAGGCATTCAAAACTCTCCAGTCAATTTCTCCTAACCCATTTATGTCAGATGGTTGCTAGTTTGTTATGCTGTGCAACATTTGTATTTGTGCTGTGACTTGGCACACAGTTGATCATTAGCTCCTTAGTGATACAAAACTATCCCTAGCAAAACATAACTAAGTCTGTTGTTAGAATAATTGAAGCTTTGTTTAATGATATCTGACATGACCACACAGGTATAATCAAGTATATATATATATATAACATACTATCAATGAAATTGATTGGAATTCTATGTAGGTCTGTGTTTGGAGGAGAAAGAAAATCAAACCAGAAGCTCACAAACATCTCCTCAGGCAGTTGACCTTTGAGTGCCAAATGAGTTGAAATTACCACTGGTTATTCCTCTAGGCTATTATTATACATAGTATCATAGTATCAGACATTCCTTCTCACCATGGTAAATTCTAAATGTTGCTGACTAACTTGACTGTAAGACTACATTGTACATATTGAAATGTTGTGTTGGTGTTATATACATGTTGTAGTTAGTTTTCTGGCGAAGAGTCTGGCTAGAATGGGTTCGAGAGTATAAGTACACTTCAGGGGATGGTGATACAAAGGCTGTAGTGTGGACCAGATCTCACTGGTCCAATCTTGCAACATAAAAGAGGTACATTTCACTCATTCACACTCTTTAAGCTCCTTATCAATTATAGAAGCACTGGAGAACAACAATCCTTGAAATTTTGTCTAATCGTATTCTGTACAGCTGTAAAATCATTTCAATGTTGTGCAGTGTGCACACATATAGGAATTCAATTTGCAGCCATTTTTATTCCTTTCTAAAGAAGTATATGTTAGATCTAGAATCCCATTCTAATGAAAGGTCTCAGGGATATGATGAGACAGACATTGATCTGCATCACTTTGGTGAATCATGGTGTGAAATTCCATGTTGATGTGGAGAATGTGAAGCATGCCACCTGCCAAAGTGCAGCATGAACTTGGCATTCATTCCAGTCCTATTTCCTTATCCCAGTCTGTTTAAGGTAGCAAGTTCCTGATGTGATCTAATTCTGCCATCTGCGGCTGCAATATACATCCTCTGGTTTTTGTTTGCCAAAGGAAGTCTGTCACCCTAAATCGTATCTTGATCTTGACCAGACTTCCTAGCTGGTAGCTTTATATAACTTATGGCCACCCTCTTATACTTTGGTTACAGCTTTGTACTTCTTGCCAAACTGTTGTGGCCTACATGTAAATTTTGTGATACATGTGTAGTATTGTAACTTTTGTGCATGTTGAGGTGTAGTATAATTTTCTAATAAAAAATCATCAGTTAAAACCATGGGGTATGAATGGAATAATTCTATCTTTAAGAAGTTCCCCACAGTATTCCAAGAAGTTGAAATAAAACTGTGTCTGTCAAACTGGACATGTAATCCTGTAGTGATAACATGTAGTGCCCTTGCTGGTGAACCTATTCCAAACTTGACCCTGTTTCCTTATTAGCCCTGTAACAGTGGTCTGTTTGTTCTGACCAATTTGTGACAGACTCCCCCCCCCCAAACAAACCATGACTCAGTTCCTCTATACTTCAAACACTCATATGCCCTTCAAAATTTGAATACAATAGAAAACTTATAGTAACTAGCGCTTCAAACAAATCACCAACAGAATGCTTCATAATTCACTTCCAAGTTATAATTTTCCCATGCTGAACCTTAACTTAAGTTACTAGCCTGGTTACCAAACCTATCATAGCTCCCGAGTCCTACATCCTCAATATTTGCAGAGGATGTAGGACTCGGGAGCTAATAGGTTTGGTAACCACCAGGCTACTAAGTTACTGCAACAAATGTTTATAGATGGGCATTGTTTTGTTGCATGTACATGTCTGATACTGTCCCTTTTTCAGAATTTAGCAAATGTAACGAGGTGCCATATTATGTGTATACCAAATATGTGATACCAGTGGTATTTGCCAGGAGTTGAAGTACCAAAAGAGCCTGGAGTGTTCTTATGAATGGTTTTATGTATGGCATGAAAATGAACTGACCAGCCAGTAGAAATGCAAAAGTTGTTCAGTACAGTATGGCTTACAAAGACTCTGTACATTCTTGTCCATGTAACATTTACATACTGTTTAGATAGCAGTATTATGTCTGATTTCTGTGGAGGATAAAGTGAGGTGAGTGGGCATTTCTTCAGACATGGAGATGGCCTTGATTGGCTGGTGACAGGACAGTCTTGTTTTGATAAATTGACCCATTAGGAAGGTTGGGTCCCTTTGTGTGAGTAGTTACCTAAATCTGCTGACTCCCAAGTCAAGGATAACTGTTCATACAGAGAGGCAAAGAGTGTAGATATCTCAAGGCCAAAACAAATTTAAGGGTATAAAAGGGGGTCTAGCACACAATGCTGATATTGTTATCTAGGATTCTGGTTTCCAGAAGACCACTTGCACACCCTCTGTAGAAGAAGTTGAGTTAATCCTGGTGTGAGCAGACAGGTTACACTGCCAGGCTGGTGAAAGATGTCATGCCCAGGACAAGGTCAGGCACCTGCCATGGTGGAACTGCTAAACTCAAACATTAGTGTTTATCACCTAGAGTGGGAGTTTTTCATGTCTGCTTGCAAGGAGAGTAATTTATGATATTGATATAAGGTTCTGTAATGATGTGACCCTTTTAGTTCAGGCTAAGCACATGTCTATACAGTACTTAGTACTTACCATAATGTGATATAGTGTTCCACTTGACAGTAGCTTCACAGGTTTTGATTTACCAAGTTGCATATGATCCAGCCATATTGACTGGGAACACAGTTTGATAAAGACTGAACAGTGTAGGAGCTTAGGGTCTCACCAATCTTTTTCACAATGGATGGCCATTCAGCACACAATCTCTCTTTGTCATTTTCATGTTGACACCTTATTTTTACCATATGGATCAACATTACAGGATGCTTGGCTACAAGCCCCGTGTCCATGTAGGATCTGCAAAAATTCTGTGTGGAATGCCCTTCATCTGTCCCTGGTTGTCTGTATCAGAAGAAAAGTAAACAGTTGAACATGTCCTCACCATGCCAGCAAGGATCAGGACAGGTAGCTTATGGTTTCCGAAATGTTCTAGAAATGTAGCAAACAGTTGTTTCCTGTTTTGTTTGTTGTAGATCTATTAAGTTGTACAGGGGTATTTGCTATCATGACAGTATCATAAAATCTATTGAGTTGATACCTCCAAGTTAGACAACTTCTCCTTTGTAACAGTATATTTGCAAAACTTTCAGTGTTATGGCATAGAACCCAGGTGTTAATCCTCCACTTAATTCTCAGGTAATCTTATTGTTCCAGTGCAGTAGGGGTCCATTGTTCTGATGGGGGTGACACAAACAAGGCAGTTGCATGAACTGCTGTATTACTGTAATCAGGCTGTTTATACCCCCATTCATACTGGGATCAATTAAATGGGTCTAGACAAGTTTTCTGGAGAAATGAGCTCCTTGGAAGAATGCATATTTTGTCTGAACAGGTATAACCCAATTTCTAACCATATTACCATGGTAGAGCTAAGGCAAGAAACATTTTCACAATTTCATAGAAGTAATATACATGTACAAATCAATGTTGATGTTTATTTTACTACCTGAAATCAAGTTGTTCATGGGTAACATACTCACCACCAGGGTATAACCTTGGTTATACGTAATAAGTTAGTATTTATACAAAAAATGTTG